CTATATCCAAATCTAATCCGATTTCGATAAAAACCAAATTCACCAAACATTTGATGTACTTGCTTCTAAACTAAATTTGGTCGGATGTGCTCAAAATGCAGGTCATTTGGACTGATATTGGGCATTTGGTGCGTAATTAACCCGAAATCGGTTGAATATATGTGAAGGAGGTATACCTATCTAAATTGGAATCGATTCTTAGCAATTTCAATAGGGTTCGTCCTTGGGCCAAACAAATACTGTGTGGAAAATTCCATCTCAATAAGATAATAAATACGCCCTGCATTTCTTCACAAAAAAAAAAAAAAAACATGGACAGATAGACGGACAGACATAGGGACCATCAAGCATAAATCGACGTAGAAAGTTTGATCGAAAAATCCATAAAAATCTATTTTATGGCTGTTAATTTAGTTTCCAAATGAATTTCTGGCAAACTACATAACTCTCAATCGGTGATTAAAATTCGAATCGTGTAGGGCTTATGCCATCACCTTTCAAATTGAAGAAGCTGGTTGCTATCCTTCCTTTATAGATCCTATGACTCATTTACCTTCTTCCTTTGTATGATTAATTCAACAACTTCCGAATTTTATAATTATTTTTCTAATAATAATATTTTTCTAAAATAATCTCCCACTGTGTGATTTTGTAGATCAATGAAAGTGAAAATAGCCGCGCCCAAAAATGCAATCTAGGCTGCCGCTATTATTACCGCTAACCGCAAAGCCAGTTTCGATTTCTGTTTTATTTGAGATACAATTTATGTTGCACATGTCCGCAGTTCCTTTCGCATCGTACATTGAGATAATTTCTTAAGGCTAAACATGGCTTGGATATTACCACAAGAGTGGGAAAACCAGTTTCTGTGCTCATTGCAAAAATGGCTTTATAATGGAAATGGTCCAAAATCATGAGATCGCAAGTTGGGAGCAAACCACAATAATAGAGTTACCAATTTCGTTACAAGTCTGCACAAAAAGCAACTATGTATGTACGCCGGCATTTGTAAGGTAAGGGAACGTTTTTAGAGGTTGGTCTCGCTGTATTTTATGAGATTTGCTATGGCTAGGTTTTCAACAGATAAACTATGAAAGATATGAGAGAATCGTAGAGCTATAATAAAATTGAAACAATTTGTAACAAATTATGGCTCAAAGGGTTTTGGCCTGCGATTTTTTTTCAGGTTTGCTCCTCCTATCCACTAGACAATGAACCACCAATGTCGACAATGAATGAATAAATTTTGTTGGCCAGCATTGCAATTTGTTGGTGGGCCTTGTTGATTCATGATTATCATAAAAAAATTTCAAATAAAGTCAAAAGAATTCAATAAGGTGCAGTCTGTGGAGAATGAAAGAACTCCATTGAAAGTCAGGCGGCGGACAAAAACGTTAGTCTAGTAACCTAGTTTTGCCTTGACAGATTGAATAAAATATTATTTTTTTAGACCACACAAGAGCGAGAATTGTAAAATGAAATCAGTTTTGGGTATTAAATGGTGTGAGGATTTAAAGGAAATATTAAATTGGACGTGGATCTTGGGGTTTTGGTAGGGTTTTCGAGGTATTTGTAATAGATTTTCGCAAAAATAACAATTTAGTTACTTTCTTAAGTTCCACCCACAGATCAACATGAGTGAATATGGTGACCGTCTGAAGAGAATATCTACAGCGTAGTATTCCGTGTTGTCCCCTGGGCTGGGCCAGTTTTCAGTGCAGAGATTAATCAGTTGAGGGGAGACAGACACCGGGCGGTGCAGTTATAGATAATGGTTTTGATCAGATCTTAAATTTGCTCGTTTTTACTCGCAAGCAAACATACTAGCGTGTGGGATTGCTCGACATTTGAAATGTAATTTACTCTCACCTTTTTTGTTTTATGTGGCAACACTCTTGAGTTACTTCTGCATGAAAAGTATGAGTGGGATCAAAATGCTCAAACTAGAGTATGAATTTACTCTAAGAGTAAAATCGAGCAGTAAAATTATATTTATTTGTGTGTGCATTTTGGAGGATTTAGGAGTTGGTATACACCTCAAGTTAAAAAGTATCAGTCGGTTTTGCCGACAGACATATACCCTCAGCCAATGTTCGATTATTTAAATATATTTAAGTAGGTTCCGAAGGGAGGTGACAATATTGTCCATTTCGCATCGGACCTAAATAAATATGATATAAATATTGCGAAGTGTCAGGTTTGGACTACATTGGTTACTTCCTTCAATTTTTATGAGATTATATAGATAAATATATGCCATCTTCTCAACAGACCTTGGACTAATAAAAATATTGAGATGTGTGTAATTTAAAGAGAACCGGATGCTTATTTCGGATTTTCAATCGTTTTAGTTAATCAAAACTTTGACCCTTTGTAGGGGAGGTACCAGAAGGAATGATCCGATCTCTACCATCTTTATAACCGATCTTGTGTTGATAGAAATATTGAGACGTACCAAGTGTGAATGGAATCGGATGTAAATTTCGTGATTTATGAGCTTGATGGATATTCAAAATTTAAACCCTTTTTGGGGACGTACCAGAAGAAGTGGACCGATATGTTCCATCTCCACATCAGACTTCGGGTGAAAAAAAAAATATTGTAATGTGTGTAATTTGAACACAATCGGAATCTTACAACACATTTTATAAGATTTATAATTATTCAAACTTTTGAGCCTTTGTGTGGGGAGGTATCAGAAGGATTGGACCGATATTGTCCATTTTCTCACCTGACCTAGCACTTATGCAAATATAACGATTTGCAAAGTTGAAGAAAAGTCGGTTTTGTGGGGTAGTTACCGAAGGTCCATTGCCTATATCGGAACTCGATCTAAGTTTGATAAAATTATTACGATGTACCAAGTTCGAGAGTTAATGTGCCAGCAGACAGACAGACGGACGGATGGACATCGCTGGATCGACTCCAAATGTCCTGAAACAGATTTGGTCAAAAGAGATCTAGAGTCTAAAACCGTTATTTCGATGGTCGTATCAAATGATTTATACCCTCTATAGCCATATGGCTGAGGCTATAATTAATAAATTATTTTCGAAGTAGAGGGACTTTACTGTCCTAATGATCAACATCTGGGGACATCTGCCGGAAGAGGTAAACTTTAACAAATGGTATTCCTTCCACGTTAGAAAGAAGGGTATATTAACTTTGTCATATCCGTTTGCAACATCCCTAAATATTCGTCTTAGACCCCATAAAGTATATATATATTCATGATCATCGATCGATTTAACATGATCCGTCTGTCTGTCTGTCCATCTGTATGTCACGATATAGCCCACATTATTTGATGTAGAGCTTCAAAATGTGGTCCACGTTTTTGTATAGCCGCCATATAAGGGTACCTCCCGATATTCGGTATTTTGATCATTTTCGCCACATTTTTCACGGATTTGCCTAAAAATTGGTATTTTTAGTTCGCCATGGTTTCTAGCTCCGGTGGCGGAACATAGTATATATAAGTGTACGTTTTTGTATAGTCCCTATATAACACTACCTTCCGATAATTAGCATTTTGATGATGTTTGCCACATTTTCCTACGGATTTGTCTAAAGATTGGCATTTGTAGGTCATAATAAGTTCCATCTCCAGTGGCGAAACTTTGAATGTGAACCTATACGTTTTTGTATCGCCCCCATATATCGGTATATCCCTATAATCAGTATATTGCTGATATATGCCACATTTATCCACGGATTTGTCCAGCAATTGGAATTTGTAGTTTGTAATGTGTTCTAGCTCCAGTGGCGAGCTCCTAGCTACGGATTTGTCTAAATATTGGTATTTGTAGGTCATAATGAGTTCCAGCTCCAGTGGCGAAACTTTGCATGTATAGGTCCATGTTTTTGTATAGCCCCCATACATTGGTATATCCCTATAATCGGTATTTTGATGATATTTGCCACATTTATCTACGGATTTGTCCAGCAATTGGTATTTGTAGTTCGTAATGGGTTCTAGCTCCAGTGGCGAGCTCCTAGCCCCGTTCTGGTATAGTCCCCATGTAACGGTACAGTGATATTCGGAATTTTGATCATTTTCACCACATTTTTTCAAGAATTTGTCTAAAAATTGATATTTTAAGTCATAATATGTTTTATCTCCGATGGCGGAACATAGTGTATATGGGTCCACGTTTTGGTATAGACCCCATTTAACGGCACCTCTCGATAGTCGTCATTTTTATGATTTTTTCCATTTTTGAATTCAGATACTTTTTATCTAAAATTGTTTTCTTTACCCAATGGTGGACAATATTAAAAGTTCGACCTGACCGAACTTAATGTTTTTTTTACTTGGATAAGGTAAATTTATTTATAATACAAAATCGACAAAAGCAATTAGTTTCGTTGGTACAGATTGCTGGCAATACTCTTTTATCCACATCGCCCCCACCCTCCATTGTAGTTTCAACAACCCCTACATTTTTGTATCATGAATTGTAAAATAAAATCATCGACATTAACTCATCATCCGAAATGTCATCCCAAATCTCTCCAACATTTTTTTTTTGTTTTTTTTTTTTTGACATTATGTTTTTACACTTGTTTCCTTTTATTCCAAAAACAATCAGCGATTTGTTATCATTACTCAACAACAACAAAAAACATCAACATGTTATTAAAACAACACAGGCCTATTAGTCTCCATTAGATTGTGATTCTTGTCTTGTGATTCTTTCTTCGATTTCGAAAATATATTTGAAATGTTTTCAAAATAAACACACACGCACACGATCATGATCTTGTCATGCTTAAGCATTTCTAAAATGTTGTCATTTTTTACACTTGATCCCTTGGTTAAATACTCGTATTATGGATCCAAATACGACATTTAACTAATGAATACAACATCTTAATGTTTTTTTCTTTGTTTGTTTAACAAAATTAATTATTTCATTGTTAAATTTTTGTGTTTCTCTTTCTTTCTTTCTTTCTTTCTTTCTTTCTTTCTTTCTTTCTTTTGTTGTCCATAATTTCAGAGCTATCGATTACTATCAGGAAACGGGCCAAACATTAAGTTCCAAGTTGAAAGAACAGCGCGAACAACCCGGCGGCAATCGTTTAGGTGGTCCATTGAGATATGCTCATACGATATTGTTTTGGTTGCGGTGTAATCAGGTAATTTTGTAATTAAATTGAATGAATCTATAATTAATTAAAAAATATTAAATATACATATCTAGCAATTGGCCGCTACTTCACCAGCGAAAAGTCAACCTTAAAATGTTAGAATCGATAACACTTTATTTATGTTCAAATTTCTGGATTTCAGCTCTATAATTTCCACCAATATCCAATTTAGTACGCATTTCCAAAACCACCTCTATATCTTAACCACATACACCAACAGTGACATTTATATCAAATTTCAGGATTTGAGCTCTATTCCTTCACCCAATACCATTCCTTCACTTCAATATCAAATTTGAGGATTTCAGCCCTATTCCTTTACCCAAATACCAAATTTAGTACCATTTGTAACTTTTCGTACAAATTTAAGAGGTATTTTCAAAAAAAACCTCCATACCTGAATTCCATAATTACAGTTACATCCATATCAAATTTGAGAATTTCAGCCCCATCCCTTTAACCAATACCATATTTAGTACCATTTAGTACTTTTCGTACAAATATAGGAGGCATTTCCAAACCACCGCCAAATCTCAAAAACTGGTGCTAACAGAGAACTGAATATCAAATTTTAGGATTCCAACTCTGTCCCTTCGCCCAATACCCAATTTAGTACCATTTACTACTTTTCGTACAAATATAGGAAGCATTTCCAAACCACCACCAAATCGCAATTCAAGATACCAATGGAGATCAAATTTGAAGATTTCAGTCCTATCCCTTCCCCAATACCAAATTTAGTACCATTTAGTACTTATAGGTATATCCAAAACACCGCCAAATCTTAAACTTTGATACCATAAGAGTCTTCAATATCTAATTTGGCGATTCTAGCCCTAACCCTTCACCCAATACCAAATTTAGTATCACTCAGTACAATAATAGTACATATTTCAAAACCACCCCTATATTACAAACAAAGATACTAACAGAGGATCAAATTTGAGGATTCCAGTTCGATCCTTTAATCCAATACCAAATTTAGTACCATTTAGTACTTTTCGTACAAATATAGGATGCATTTACAAACCACGTCTATATCTAAATTCCAGATACTAACAGATACCTCAATATCAAATTTCACGATTCCAGCTCTATCCTTTAATCCAATACCAAATTTGGTACAATTTAGTACTTTTCGTATAAATTTAGGAGGTATTTACAAACCACCGCCAAATCTCAAAAACTGATACTAAAATAGACCTTAATATCAAATTTGAGGATTCCAGCCCTTCCCTTCACCCAATACCAAATTTAGTACCATTTAGTACTTTTCGTACAAATATAGAACACATTTCCAAAATCGCCCATATCTCTATTTCAGATACCAACGGAGACTTCAATATCAAATTTGAGCAATTTCTGCCCAATCCCTTCATCCCCTTAAGCAATACTAAATGTAGTACCATTCAGTACTTTTCGTACAATTAAGTACACACTTCCGAAACCACCTCCTGGATACCAAATTTCAGATTTCAAGCACCAACTGTTCCCAAATACAAAATTGTACCAAATATAGTACTATTTCGTACTTTTTGTGCACTTATATTTACATTTCTTAAGCCACTTTTTTATCACAAACCAAACACTAACAGGGACCCTAATACAAGTTTTCAAAATTCCAACCTCCTCCATACACCCTAAACCAAAATTTTCCAAATTTAGTACCATTTTGTACTATTCGTATATTTCCAAAATCACCTTCATGTATCAAACATACTTTCCAACCTTGATTCTCATACCAAATTTCAAGTTTTTACCTCTATTAATTCATATAATACCAAATGATACCATTTTGGAAGTTAAGTACCATTTTGAAACATTTCGTAACTTTAAAGTTCAAATTTCCAAAAACCACTTCGTACATCTAGCTCCACTCCACTGCAGTCAATCAGAGACTTCTATTCCAAAATTTCAGAATTCTAGCACATTTCTATTGTCCAATACAATGTATTTAATTTTTAGTACATTTCGTATCCTTTTTGTACTAATTTCCAAAAAGCCAGACTTAGCACACGCCGATACACTAAGACTGACCCTCGTGCAAAATTTCAAGATTCGAGCTTCAGCCGTTTCGTTTGGGTTACTCTTCACTACTCTTTTATTTCTATCTATAGAGAACCGTAAAAATTCTTCTGTCTATTGAAGGCTGTAAAAAAGTCTAATATAGAACCTTTTTTATCCTCTTTTATACAAGAAAGCCGTAAAAATTATTCTGTTTGCCGAAACCCTTCAAAAGGACTTTCCTAACAAGTCTTATGTGTTTTAATATGTTAGACTTTGAGTATTCAAATATTCTTAAATTTTCCACAGTATCAATTTCACTTTTCACATATCCTTAGTCCTATTTGCCTCCACCCAAAAATGTCTAAGACCCAAGGCGACCAACCCCCTCAGACATCAACCCTCTGAGATGAGTAAAAGTCAACCGCTTTGGAATTCAAACAACAAAAACATTATCAAATTATTTTCCATTTTATTCCCCAAGTCTGTTTGGCTAGGCACAGGCTGGAATTGTGACCCGAGTTCATTAACAATGCCAAGAGCGTATGTTTTTGGTTTTGGCCAAAGTCATCACCATCATCAGTAACATCACCACAACCAACGTCGTCGTCGGCGCAGTCTTACGTTTTTGCAAATATTTGTTGTCGATGGTGGATGAGTTTGCCATTTGTAAGCTCATTTCTTTTTTTTTTTTTGCCAAAATGACATTTAGGCCTCCAAACATTCATTCACATATGGTTTACGAACTGGTGGAACCAGAGCGAAAGGCAGAATAAAAAATGATTACAATTTTTTTTTTTGAATTGTTAATTTGAGCCGACCAATGTTGTTGGGTCATTTTTATCCGACATTCCACAAAACAGCAGAGACAGTTCTAAAAAAATGAAAGGCATTCATTAGCTTATCACCGATTCTTCATCATTGACAGAGAAAGAAAAACGTCGTCAACTTCAATGGTGGCTGATGGTGGCTACACCGAAGATGAACAACCACATAACTTATCCAAATGAGAATTCATTCTCACATGCGGACATACATGGTTTGAACTTCTCATTCATTCATAGCCCGCAAACAAGGCAAGACAGCAGCCAACAATGCCTACAACGATGACAACAACACCTTCATCCATTTATCCATCCAGCAAAGCAAGTTCTTGTTTCATAGAATGCTTTTAGGCCAGAAAATAAAAACAAAATAAAATCGAAAACTCGTGCGGAATAAACACGCCGGCTCAGACACATATGTATGTAGGTACCTAAACATGTAGGTTTGTGGAGAGTGGTTGAACTCCTTTCACTTTGCATTCTTTTTTCAAGAACCGATACCCATTTCGGTTACAACTTATTTAATTACCTTTTTTGCATGTGCCTTGGCTTGCCTTTTAATATTTCAATCTTTTTGGAATTCAATGTTGGTGGGGTTTGGCCTTCCATGGCCTCTACCATGGTGGCATATTGTTGGCGTTTATTTATGAGCATTTTCCATTAAGTATGGTCATTCATTTACTTTTACTTCCATTCCAGCGATTTTTCTCACGGGGCATAAACTATATGTAAGGTTACAATATTTTGATGTGATATTAGATATATTTTGAAATATCATATTCTATGGCAGGAATATGGAACCATCTTAGACCATAGGAGATCTTATAGAAGAGAAGAAGATCTTATAGAATAGAAGAGAAAGGATCGTCTGTAGAAAGACAACCTTTAAAGGGACATCTATAGATAGAAGGCTTTTAAATGGATTTATATTTGTGAGTTTTCCATAGGTAATAGACCTGTAGAAGGACCTCTATCCACAGAAGGTTTTTAGAATCTCTTATCGACAGAAACCTTTTAATTGTTTCCCTAAGAGGTCCTTTAAAGGAATTTCCCTATAAAGAAAACCCTAAAAAGGCTTTTGTAAGGACTTCAATGTTGAGGAAAACTTTAAAGCCTCATCTATTGATGGCCTTCAAAGAATAAACTATAAATAGAGGGTCTTGAATGGTCTTCTATCGGCGAAAGGACCTGGAAGAGCCTTCTCAACAAAATCAATGGTCCAACAACAACAATAGCATTCGACTCGTTGTTCCACACCAGTGTTTTGTTCGTTGTTCCTTAGGAGTTCTTGGGACTTTCCAGACAGAAGTCTTTCGCTCTTTGTTTCAAACGAGATTCAGCTCGACTGTTCCACCAGACCTTCGGCTCCCTATTCCACGGGTTTTTGGCTCGTTTATCGTGGAAGCTAGGACTTTTCACACAAGTCTTTCGCTCTTTATTCCACATGATCACCGACTCGTTGTTCGATGAGTTTTCGGTTCGTAGTTCTAAAGGAGCTCCTGCTCGTTGTTCTACGAGTCTTCGGTCCATTGTTCCATAGGAGTCTTTGTCTCGCTGTTTCCCAGAAGCTTCGGCGCATTGCTTCATAGGAGTCATTGGCTAGTTGTTCCACAGGAGCTTCAGCTCGTGGTTCGACTCGTAGTTCAAATATTGATAGTGAAGTTGTGGTAGTCATCTCCTAGCTACTAGCGACAACTCAAATAGCTGTCGGTCAGAACACGAACGGTTTAAGTTCCCCACTCATCTTAAGCGACCTTGACACCGACACCCGAACATTCCCGCTGTGAACTGCCGAACCCGACCAATTTAACATCGAACATCCCATTTAACTTAGACTACCTGGACGTCTGCTCCTGAACCCGAAGGTTAAACAACGAGTTTCCAATTTATCTTAAACGAAGTGGTCATCTGCTTCCTGAACTGTTATACAACAAGTTCCCGATCCCTCTAATGCGACCTGAATATCAATGCAATAAAGAGAAATACTTGCCAAATTTTTTAAAATCGCAAACACCCCGAACATCGTCATCGTCTACAACTCGAACACCAACACATTATCCATCAGAGTTCCCGATTAACTTCAAATCAACTGTAATTCGATCACCTAACCTGAAAACCAGAATCATAATTTCCAATAAGAGTTCCAGATTACCTTTAAATCGTCTGTTACCTGGAAACTATCCCCGATTGAGTACACTTCGCCTTCAAACCGAACACAACATTAAAATTCCCCCTTTCCTACATCTCATCAAAAACCGACGTTCATACATCAGAGTTCCTGACCACCTAAACCCATTTGAACATTGGATCCCAAAATTTAAATTTTTATAGATTTTCTTTAACTCATGGTGGAGGATATTTAAAGTTAGGCCCGGCCTATCTTAATGAGGACGTAGGGTATAAAAACCTGAGCCATATGGCTACAGAGGGTATATATCACTTGATATGGTCAAAGTAACGGTTTTGGACCCTAGGTCTCTTTAGACCAAGTCCATTTCAGGACATTTGGAGTCGATCTTGAGGTGTCTGCCCGTCCGTCTATCTCTCAAAGGTAGTATCCGATTTGCTTCGAATTTAGTACGTCGTAATATTATTATCAAACTTTGATCGAGTTCGGAAATAGAGAATATCGCTCCACTCCTTCTGGTACCTCCCACACAAAAAGTCAACATTTTTAAACAAAATAATTTATGTCACAGAAAGTGAAAATATCATCAGATTTTGTTCAAACTTTGCAAATCCTAATATTTGCATCATTGCCAGGCCAGGTGTGTAAATTGGCAATATCGGGCCACTCCTTCTGGTAGCTCCCCCACAAAGGGTTAAAATTTTAAATATCCCAAACACGAAATAAACATCCGATTTCACTCAGACTTGACACATCTCTATATTTCTATCCGCACAAGATCTGCTGTAAGGATGGTAGAAATCGGACCATTCTTTCTGGTACCTCCCCCAAATAGTCAAAATTCTGATTAACCACGATCATTACATCCAAAAAAAAAAACATCCGCTTTCGGTTGGTCCACTTCTTCTGGTACCTCCCCTACTAATACAAACTCCAAATTCAAATCTGATTCCATACAGTATTAGCAAATCTCAATATTTTTATCAGCAAAAGATCTCTTATAAACAAGTCAGCGATTCTCGAAACAAGTCGGCGATTCTGAAACCTTAGAGAAAATTTATGATTTCGCATAAAGTTCGATTTTCTTGTAATTTTACTCATACCAATATTCTTATCTGAATTAGATGAAGTATTAAAATGAGATACTTTGTCGACTATATCTGGTATCTCACGCACATTTTAAGATTTTCTAAAAATTATCACATATCTTATATAAAGTGAATGGAGTAGCCAATATAGTCGAAACCTGGCCCGCCACAATATTTATATCATATCTATTTAGGTCCGAAACGAAATGAGCCATATTGGCCCATTCCTTCGAAACCTACTCCATAGAGGGTCAATGATTTGAATAATCATAACAGAAGTCAAAATATATTTGAATATTCGAACATTGGCTGGCGGTATACATCTGTCGGCAAAACCGACCCCAATTTTTTAACTTGTTTGAATATTAAAATAACAGCTTCTTGGAACTCAATCCGAGCGTCCTTTAAAGTCCTTTAAAAAAGAAAGCTCTCAGAGGAGTTTTATTTAAGTAGCAACTTTTGAACGGTCATCTAAAACCTTCACAAGATAAAACACTTATGAACGGTAAATGTAAATTTACCTACATAGAAAAACGAAATCATTGAAGTTTTCCTTATTTTTGAGATTTCCATTAGGCTACATTTATTTTATACATCTCATTACACATTTATATTTATTTATTAAGATGTCCATACCTAATAGCATTACATTAAACAAATTCCATTCCTAATGGCTGAATTAATCAAATCTCTTTAACATCTTCTTCTTCATCTCCTTCTTCCCCATTCACAGGATATTCTGAACACTCGTCTGGACAAACGTGTTGATGCAATGCTGGAACAGGGGCTGCTACGTGAAATACGAGCTTTTCACAATGAACACAACGTGGACAAAAGGTGGGTAGAGTGCGCTAAATCTTTTGTCATCATGTAGTGTAGACGGCTATTAATCACACACATTGCGTTCCCCGACACCCATTTCCGTTCAAATCCCAAACAACAAATGGATATAAGCGCTTTCCATAAATCATATCGATACTAAATTACTATTTTATCCTTACTAATCGTGGTATTTTCTCTATTGTTATAACAACCAACCAACCCCTCCAACCGAAAAATAAAATATTGAATGGCCGTCGAACTACTTGGATGGACTACATGGAAACCGCCGGATGTGAAAATAACAACAACAACAATGTGTAGCGCCGAATATACTAAAGGTGTCCTGCAAACAATTGGTTACAAAGAATTCGTCCCGTATTTGGAGAAATTCAATGCCACCAATGATGAGAAGATTGAGGAATATTTACGTCTGAATTCGTATAAAATGCCTAGTGAAGGTAAGTTATCATATCCATATCATAATAAAGTTATAAGTATGTAGAGATAAATGGTGGCACAAAAAATTTAAAGGTATTTTTCTGTTTATAAAGGGCCTAAAAATATAATTTTATCTACCTATATTGTATTGACTGTAGTAACGATTCCGAACTTCAAATACGAAATTTGAAACAATTCCGGTGAATAATGTCGATAAAATTATGGAAATTCCGAATATCGGGGGGTACGGTTATGTAGGTGCTGTACTAAAACAATTCTCTTCCAGGGGGTTAAGTACTCAGAGGGAACTCCTTGTGTGGATTTTGAGACAATTCCATTGAAAAAATTGGCTGCGATCATCAAAATACTGAATATGAGTATTTTGTATATGGGCTACAAGATATCCTGGACCTATATAGATAAAAATGTGGCTAAAATCATCAAAATACAGAATATCGGAACGTACGATATCGTGGACCTATATAGAGAAATCTCTTCCAGGGGGTAAAGTACTCATAAACAACTCCTTATGTAGAAGTTCAGACAATTCCATGTAAAACTTTTATATGGGGGCTTTACGATATCGTACTCCGATATAGCACATCTTCGAACTTGACCTGCCTGCAGACAAAAGACAGATTGGTGCAAAATTTTAGCTTCCTATTTTTATTTCTTTTGACTCTGGCGTGATTACAACACAAATGAATTTTAATTTCAAGAATATACAGGGTGAAATAAAAAATTGCAACAAAGTAAAACGCCATAATTTGTAAATATTTTTTTAAGTTTAGATTTGTTCGAATTGGTCACCTTTTACACGAATTATGGCCTTCAAACGGCCAATGAAACCGTCACACGCTGCCCGAATGTTGCTCTGCGGTATTTTGGCCCATTCCCGGCGAAGCGCTTGCTTGATGTGATTGACATTTTGTAATTTTTTAGTGCCAACCTTTGCTTTCAAAAATACTCCAGACACAACAGTCCAATGGATTGGTATCCGGAGATATTAGTGGCCATTGTGTGCTGGAAAGGAAGCGAGGAACCTTATTTTGTAAAAATTCTTGGTTGGCGCTTGCTGAGTGCGATAGTGCTGAGTCCTGTTGTCCAAGGTCTGCGGATAAAATGTTTGCGTGCCCAAGGCTTTAATACAGCCTACAGAATATTTTCGCGATAATATTCGGCATTTATTCTGATGCCACGGTCGATTAATACGAGCGGAGAACGTCCTTCGGCTATTATGGCTGCCCACACCATCACCATGGCCGGCGCTTGAGTTCTGGTGGCCAATCGAAGGTGCACATCTTCAGCTGACCTCTTTGGCAAGTAAACACGATAATTTTGTCTGTTTACAAACTGCTGTACAACGAATGTTTACTCATCGGAGAAACCTAAGTTCGGCAGTTCACCACTTTCGGCCAAGCGAAGCAACTTTTTAGCTCTTTCGAGTCTATTTTTTTTCTTTTAAGATGTATGTTCTTGCCCTTTCTGGAATTTCAATGGCTTTACCCCGAGCTCATTTTTCAATATTTGCCGAATGGACAATTGCGATATGTTCAGCTCACGAGGCACTGCGACGCAGGTTTCGATCCAGTCGCTTCTTTATTTTTCGGACCATTTCTGCTGATGTTCCAGTTTTCTTCCGTCCACTTCCTAGACGTCTAGCAACGCTACCAGTATCACGGTAACGAGCGATGGTACGAGACAAAAAAGTTTTATTCACATTTTAATGCTGGAGTGCTCTAACGATAGCCACCTGTGGTTTTACAGCCAAATATAAAGAAATCACACTATCACGCTTGAATTCCATCAGGAATAACATTTTTTTCGGGACAATTACAATATAATGGGCTGTCACTGTAATAATTTTTATCAGCTGTCGGACGAGTGGCTTAGAAATGACAGCAGTCTGAAGTTGGTTGCAGTTTTTTCATCTCACCGTGTATTTTAAAATTTTCATTGTAACTGCTAGAAATAATCATTGTCCATATTTTTCGACCGTGTTTGCTGTGAGCCACAGTTTCTATTCCATGTGGACAGAATATATCATTGAATAAAACTTTCTATATTGGACCAAGTTGCGACACAAACTCCCTTTAACGGCGCCTCCCGATATTTAGGTATTTTGTCGACTTGAATCGACTAATCGGTTTACTTATATTTTTATAATTCGAGTTCATAATGGGTTATAATGGCTATCACATCCTATGATATATCACTTTCTACGATATATCACATTTTCCTATTAGGTATCGGATTTCATCAAATTTAATATTTTGAGGTCAGAGAAATTTTCTATTCCGGTTCACGATTTTAGACAGTTTTCACACATATTAAGGTACCTGCCGATATTTAGATTTTATATGTTTTACCTAAATTATTTCGAAATTTACCATTTGAATAATACATCTTTTAGAAAATTTAATTTGTGATATTCCATATCTATATAAGAAACTTTTTTCAAAATTCTTGCCCACATAATATTAAAAATTGTTCCTCCAGATAACAGTAAGTCTAAGAGCATAATAATAGACAGCTAAAAATGTGACGCCTTCTAATATAAAAGTGAATACCTTGTGTCAAGTCACGTTGGGCATACAAAACTAGTTGCCCTTAGAAATATTTGCTAATATAATAAAAAAAATTATCACAGTATGTGATTCGGCTGGAATCTGAGTATTCCTAAATGTATCTTCAAATAACAGATTGGTCATGTACCAGCAGTCGTTGTTTGAGAACACTCAAATGATAGGAATTTACGCACGTACATTAATATCTAGCAAAACTATTTGCTCAATTGTGATGAGTAATAGTTAAAATACTACACGGATGTGGAAGGTATCTTCGCTATATTAACATATTTGTAACCACATTCCAATATCACAAATTTTGGAATAAATTTACAAACTGTCTTATTTAGCATTGAAAAGCGTTTAACGTTTTTATACCCTCCACCATAGTATGGAGGGTATATTAAGTTTGTCATTCCATTTTCAACACCTTGAAATATACATTTTAGGCCCCACATATATATCCTTGATCAGCATAAAATTCTATTTCGATTTAGCAATGTCCGTCCGTCTGTCCATCCAACCGTCTGTCCATCTTTAGAAATCACTCTAGCTTCCGAAAAAAATTAAGTAGTTGATAACATTTTACTCAAATGTGTATTATGTCTGCAGGACTTTTGGTATTGAAAATGGACCATGTAGGTCCACGTTTTGGTATAGCCCCCATATAATGGTGCCTCCCTATTTTCGGTATTTTGGTGATTTAAGCGACACTATTCACCTGAAGTTTTTCAAATTTGGTATTTGAAGTCGGTAATGGATACTGCAACGTATGACAGAAAATTGTCTTGGCAGGTCCACGTCTTCGTATAGCCCATATGTAATGGTACCTTCCTTTTATCGGTATTTTTGGTGATTTAAGCGACATTATTCACCGGAAATGTTTCAAATTTGGTATTTGAAGTTCCAAATAGATAGTACAGCCTAAGACCGAAAATTGTCTGTGCAGGTCCACGTCTTCGTATAGCCCCAATATAACGGTACCTCCATATATTCGGTACTTTGATAATTTTAGCGACATTTTTCACCCGAATTGTTTCGAAATGGATAGTACAGCCTAAGACAGAAAATTGTCTGTGCAGGTCCACGCCTTCGTATAGCCCCAATATAACGGAACCTCCATATATTCGGTATTTTGATGATTTTAGCAACATTATTCACAGATTTTTTTAATTTCGCATTTGAAAATTCTAATGGCTCATGACAAAAGTCGCCTATGCAGGTCCACGTCGTCGTATAGACCCTAATATAATGGCTACATTCGGTATTTTGAAGAATTTTACAGAATTTTAACGGATTCTGTTTTTTAAAAATTGCCAAATGGTGGAGGTTATTCAAAGATCGGCCCGGCCGAACCTACAGCTTTTTTACTTACTTTTTTTCATATGATGAAAAATACGTCTCAAGAATGAATAAAATATTCTCTCCCCTGTTGTAGCTCAAAACTTATTCGACTTAAACCAGCATCTCCCAAATTAATACTTTTCATATCACATTATTTTATTTAAATATTTTTTTTCTTCCGAATACTACATTTAGAACACTTCAAACAATATGCTGGCTCAATATGTGAACCCTCCTCAGAAGCAGCGCCAAATACCGACACCATTGACCCGAAAGAGCGTTTACCCCCAGGCTTGGATGTTTTGAATTCATGTTTGAATGAATTGAAATTAGTTACGCGTCGCTATTCCAAGAAACAACAGAAATGGATTAACAATCGCTTCTTGGCCAGTCGAGATCGTCAAGTGCCCGATATCTACGAATTGGATACGAGCGACGTCAGTCGCTGGCACGAATGTGTTTATTCACCGGCTGTCACGGTAATTGATTGCTATCGTTCGTCACAAGTATGCGAAATACAGCCGATGCCGAAGAGAACACATCCGGGAGCGGACTTGAATGAGGAGGTATGTATAGAATACGTACAATATGATTAATATTTTTGTATGAGTATGAGATGAAGATGAAGAAAAAGTAATTTACACAAAAATGAAAAACGGAAATCATTCATTTACACATATTTATGTATTTAAAAAAGAAAGATACAAATTTGGATATAATTTTACTGGAGACTAGTAACTGGATTTTTTTTTTTTTTTTTTTTTTTTTTGTTCTGAGTGAAGGATATGTTGAGAAAGACGATCTTATGATCATGGAGGGGAAGACATACAATACAATATTAGTAACAAAAAAATTGGAAAGTGTCATTCGGTTTTGCCGACAGATGTATACCCTCAGCCAATGTTCGATTATATAAATATATTTTGACTTCTGTTGCGATTATTCAAATTATTGACCCTCAATGGAGTAGGTTCCAAAGAAATAAGGCAATATTGTCCATTTCGTATCCGATCTAAATATATTTGATATAAATATTGCGGCGTGATATGAAATATTTAGGAAATGTTCAAATATGCGTGAGGTACAAGATATATACTTCATCTACTACAAATAAAAATATTTATATTGGCAAAATTCGATTCGAAAAATTAAAAATTTATATCCAATTTTATGAGAAATCATAAATTCCAAATTCATCTCAAGTTTCTGGTTACGGGAAATATTTAGATAGAGCAAGTTGTAAAGAATCACTGACTTGTTTTGCAATTTATGACAGATAAAAGTATTACCCCTTGTGGGTAAGGTACCAGAATTGGTTCATAACATATCTTGTGTTAGCAAAAATATTTGTATGTGTGAAAATTTAAAGAATTGGATGCTTATTTCGCTTTCTTTGAGCGTTTTGTTTTTCAAAATCTAGAACCCCATATGGGGGAGGTACCAGAAGAAATGGTCAGATCTCTACCATCTTTGATAGAAATATTGAGATTTGTTGAGTCTGACTGTAATCGAATTTTAATTTCGCATTTTATGAACTTCATGAATATTTACAATTTTGACCCTTTGTGGGAGAGGTACCAGAAGGAGAAGACCGATATATCGCATCTTCGCAGCTGATCTTATGTTAGTAGAAATAGTGTGAAATATGAAGAGAACCGGATGCTTATTTCGGATTTTTTTATAATCGTTTTGGCTACTCAAAACTTTATCCCTTTATAGGGAGGTACCAGAAGAAATGGTCCGATATCTACCATCTTTATAACAGATCTTGTGTTGATAGAAATGTTGTGATGTGCCAAGTGTGAATGGAATCGGATGTTAATTTCGCGTTTTATGAGCTTCATGGATATTTAAAATTTTGAAGCTTTGTGGGTTAGCAGAAGGAGTTGACCGACATATCCTATCTTCACAGCAGATCTTGGGTTAGTATACCTGTTGAGATGTATGAAATTAGAAGACAATCGGACTCTTATGTCACATTTTATTCGAGTTATAATTATTCAAAATGTTTACCCTTTGTGGGGGAAGTACCAGAAGGAGTGGACCAACAAAAATTGGAGAGGATCGTATGCTAATTTCGCATTTTATAAGAGTTATAATTATTCAATATGTTGACCCTTTGTGGGGTAGGTACTTGATGGAGTGGTCCGCCATTGTCCATTTTCGCACCTGACCTAGCACTGATGCAAATGTTAGGATTTGCAAAGTTGGAGCAAAATAATCAATCAAAGGATCTTCCTGTGCAGTAAAATATATTTTCTTTTTTATACCCTCCACCATAGTATGGAGGGTATATTAAGTTTGTCGTTCCGTTTGTAACACCTCGAAACATACATTTTAAACCCCACAAAATATATATACTATTGATCAAGATAAAATTTAATATCGGTTTGTGATGTCCGTCAGTCTGTGGAAATCACTCTAGCTTCCGAACGAAATGAAGTAGATTGATAAAATTTTACTCAAATGTATATTGTATCCGCAGGACTTTTGGTATTGAAAACGTCTTCGTATAGCCCCCATATAACGGTACTTCCCGATATTTGCTACTTTCTTGATTTTAGCTACACTATTCACCGGAAATGTTTCAAATTTGGTATTTGATGTTCGAAATGGATATTACAGCCTATGACAGGAGATTGTCTGTGCAGGACTACGTCTTCGTATAGAACCCATGTAACGGTACCTCCCCATATTCGGTGTTTTGATGATTTTATCAGAATTTTTAACGGATTTTATTGTTTGTGATAACTGCCAAATTCGTTCTAAATATCAGAAGGTGTGAACCGATATTGCGAATCTCTGAACTCGATCTAGGTTTGATAATAATATTACAATATAACAAAGAGGTTTAAGGTCTAAAATCGTTATTTCGATTAGGCACGTTTGGCAAATGTCCTCTCGATCCATATGTCTGAGGGCATAATAATTGATATGACAAGTGTATATAAAAATATGAAATGGGGATACGTTGTCGAGTAATAGTCGACTTTCGGCTTAAAATTGATTTTCTATATATTTTGTGGACTCACATCAATTGTTTCGTACAATTTTATTTTGTACGATAAAAATTGTAATTTATAAAATTTATAATCTCAAAATTGAAAATCTTAACTCGTAACTCTCCTAAACCTCAATTTTAAGGTTTTTACTTCTTGCAACAACTTTGAAGCAAATAATACATATATATTATTAATATTCGTGTATGAATTTATAAGCAGGTTCATTATTCGATTTCATTCAAGACATGTATAAACATTTCCCTTTTTGGTTCCAAATATACTCACCAAGCGCTATCATCCTTTGAAGGAGTTTTCCACACTTCAAAATCTTGTGGAGCAGTGTAATCCAAATAAATAATTTATTTATATATATATTTTTAGACCACCAACTTTTGTGAAACCTGTCAACGCCATTTCATTGGCGAATATCAATGGCATTTGCATTTAAAGTCAAATCGGCATAAGAAACGCAAGGAGGCGCTCAGGAAAAAGCAAGCGGAACAACCACCACAAGTTGACAACTAACCGATTAAAAATGCATTTAACAAAATGTTGTTTTTTTCTTTTCCTTCAAAATGTTTCAAATAAATAAAATGTTTTATTGTCGAATTTTTCGTTTTCTGTTTTATTTTTACAAATAGAATTTTGAGGGATGAATGTTTTCACTTTTAAGAGGTAATGTACATCAATATATAGATAGAATAACAGCGTTAAATTTAAACTTAACAACAAACTTAATACGAAAACTTAGTTTTTTTAAAAACCATTTTTAAATATATACTAGTAGTACTAAAGAGTTCAGGGCTGTAAAGGGGATGCCATAGTAGTTCAAAATTTGTATTTTTTTCCAAAGAAATCGAGTAACTGAATTCGATTTTTATGTTTTTTGCGTACTTGTGATTGAGGCAATAATGACCCCAACTTCGCAACCTTGAACTAATTAGTAACTTTTTTTCTTTTGAATATTTTTAACACATTAAACATAGCTATAGTGGATGAATTTTATTTTAAAGAATGTTTGATTATTATCTTTATATTTTTTTTGTAGAGGTTTTACATTTTTTATATGATTTTTGATTCTGTATCCTTTTTTTTAATATTTTTTACATTTTGTTATTTTTTAATTTATTGAAATTTGAATAAAAACTTAAAATATACACAAAATTTTCGGATATATGGACTGTCACATGTTGATCTTCGAAAACAGTAAGCTGTAAGTCCATATCAATAAAAAGATAGTAAGCATCGGCTCAAAAGTTATTTGGCGGAGAGCCAATGTATGAATTTTCAAAATTGAAGAAGAGTGAATTGAAGAAGAAAGAAAAAATTACAGTTGTTTATAAAAACATATTAGAACAAGTAAAAAACATTAAGTTCGGCCAGGCAGAACTTTAATACCGTCCACCTTTGGGTAGATAAAACATTTTTATATAAAATTCAAACGTGTTCCACTTTAAACTACAAATATCAGTAAGGCCGTTTCGATAATGCTATTAAACTTTTGAGAGACAATTTTATACTTCAAGGATAGTCATCTGCCAAATCTTCTTAAATACCAAATTTGAAACAATTTCGTGGGTAAATGTGACTAGGATTATCAAAATACCGAGTAATGTTTGGTTTAGTTATATATGCACTATGTATAGGAAAACCTGGACCTAAATTTTCAATGTTCTTCCGCCAGACTAGACCCATTATGAACTACAAATATCAATTTTTAGACAAATCCGTGGAGAAATATGGCAAACACCATCAAAATACCCAATATCGGAAGGTACCGTCATATGGGGACCTATACATACAATATTTTACCATCGGAGGTAGAATCCATTACAAATTATAAATACCAATGTTTTAAAAAAATGTGGCGAAAATCATTAAGATACCGAATATTGAGAGGTACCGTTAAGGGGGCTGCATAAAAACGTAGACCTATACATACAATGTTTCGCTACCAGAGCTAGAACTCCTTATGACCTGTAAATACCATTTTTTAGACAAATCCATGAAAAAATGTGGCAAAAATCATCAACCGACTGATATATCTCATTTTCCATATAACCATCCTAGAATAATTCTGCTAAATTTTGAAGCTCTACGTCAAATAATGTAAATCGGGTCATGCGGGTGGAAAAACAAATATCTCTGGACCCAGAAATAGTATTGGCACAAATTGTAGCAAGAAAGAGTGTCAGCAATAATTTGGCATAAATTTGGTTGACCCCCATAATGGACCCTTTTTCGACTTTTTTTAAAGAATCCGGGTCCAAAAAACCTATAATTTGACTAAAACTTCCGAACAGCTTAAGAATTATATCATCGTGTGACTACTTGTTGGATAGCTATTTTCATAAGCTTTCCACCTCTTTCAGGTCAAAAAACAGGGTCCGTCCCCCAAGAAAAAAATATTTTCCCGGGATCAGGGTACAAAATATATACTGTTGGAAAAAATTTGAAAAATTGAAGAGTTTTTACTAAATTAGAGTTAAGTCAACTTGAAAAATGAAATTCATTCATACGCAGTCCAAATCAATATTCTAAACATTTCAATTTTCGCCGCCAATAAAAAGTCGTTTCATTTCGACCAGTCATGCAAAAACCAATTTTCAGTTTTGATTTTTTATAAAAAAGTCGAAACAGGGCGAATCGAAATCGTTGGTCGATTCTTAAAGCCGTTGCATAATTTCTGGCTTTTATAATAAATGCTAAATGGACCGAAAATGTATGACCTTAAAATCGAACATTATTTTCAAAATCTTTACTTTACGACATCTACCAAGGCAAAGATAGCCTTCAATTTTTTAAATTTTGAGTACCATAAGTGGATTTATAGAATATTTATTTGCGTATTCCCAGTCCTAATATATCCGATAATTTTGGAAAGTTATACAGGCAAACCACTTTTGCAAATAGGTCTAATAAAAAATTATATAAACACATTTATAAACATTTAGTAAATAATTATGATTTTCACTTGTTTTGTTTGATTTATTTTGTTTAAAACAATTATTGTTTTACATATGTGTGCTATGTCTTTCCCCAATAATATTTTTATACTAAATGACATTTGATGCTGTATGTTATATCGTATATATGTCTGTATGTGATATTTTTGTATTAATACTAGATTATATAGTTATTCTAAAATAAAATAATTTCATCTAAATTCAGGTTGATTTTCTTTATTTCATATATTTTATTTTATGTTGTCTTTATTTATTTTAGTTTCTTTGGTTTTTCATTTTAATGAACGACGGTCTCAATTCGTTTAGGTTTAACTATTTATAATTTAACATTTATATATGGATTTTTGTATTTAATTATGGTTTTGCATTTTATTAGTACATTAGTATGAATATCTTTTTTATTTATTTATTTATTTATTTATTTATTTATTTATTTATTTATTATTTTTTTTTTTATTTCGTTTACGAGCTATATTAATGATCACATTTCAATAAGCAAAATTAACATTTAGATGTTTTTGATTAAAAATTCATTATAATTTTTATTTATATAATTTAATAAAAATGTATTTTAATCTATCGATTTTTATGAATGTATTTCAAAAATAGGAAATATAAATAATATTAAGGTTTTGTTTTCTATATGCCGATTCTTAAGTGAATGCGAAGGAACGACATCATTCTAAATAAGTTTTAAAAACGTTTCATATTTTGACTTTTCTTAGTTATATATCGACATACAGAAACAGGTCCTTAACCCCTGAAATAAACTGATATCTAAATTTGACTTTTATTGGACAAAAAATGCAACATTTTATTATGTATTTTAAAAATCAATGGCTCATTTAACGAAATATTAGATCTGACCATATCTAAGGAGAGAAAATATCACCTTCGATTTTTAAAATTTTTAATACCAAAGGCTATAGCCGTGCTGGGCTAACAATGTGATACCCTACAACACTGCAATATGCTGGAAGCCCCTTAATGTCAAAATCCATTTTGGAAGATTTTGGTTTTGAAAGAATTTTATAGTGCCCTGCCCTAATGTTAGCCTTAAATTTTTGACCGAGAGCATTTGCCTAATATTTACATACTCCGTCGTGTTGTTAGATGTTGTAGTCCATTTTACAGATAAATATAAATCAATGGTCATCCAAATTCTAGAATTCTGGACCGATATTATCAATTTTCCCAAAATTTGCAAAGTTGGACCAAACTCGGATTATCCTTTCTCTTTCTATACAAAAAATATATTTTTGCAAATTTCGACCTTTTGTGGGGGAGGTACCAGATGATACCGATATTGTCCATCTTAACACCAGACCTTGGGTTAATATAAATATTGGGATATGTGAAATTTGAAGACATTCGGACTCTTACATAACATTATATGAAGGTTGTCAAAATTCATAATTTTGACCATTTGTGAGGTAGGTACTTGATGTAGTGGACCTATATTCCCCATTTTCACACCTGACCTAGCACTGACGCAAATATTAGGATTTGCAAAGTTGGAGTAAAATCGGATTATCCTTTTTCTTTCTGTGCAAAAAATATATTTTTTGAAGATTTCGACCTTTTGTGGGGGAGGTACCAGAAGGGGTGGACCGGTATTGCCCATCTCTGAACTCGATCTCCCATATTGCCCATCTCTGAACTCCCTTCGAGAGCTATCGTGCGCACCAGCCAGCCAGACAGACGGACGTCGCTAGATCGACTCAAAATATTCTGAAACTTATTTGGTACAAAGATACCTAGGGTCTAAAACCGTTATTTCGACTAGGCACGTTTTGACCGTATCAAGCCATATGGCTGAGGGTATAAAAATTAAGAAATTAATGGTTATGGAAACCCTGACATATCAAAGCTTCTCGGAATTTTTATAAAAACCCACATTAAAACGAATACGTTTGAATACGAAAGATTCGAGTGAAAGTAACGTTTTTTACAAAAACAAGCTGTCAGAATGAGAAGACTCAACAACAACTATTTTTGAGTTATTGATTTATTTCTTTGAACAGATACTTTAAATACGAATTATATCGTTAATGATTACTTTTGTTGCCATGAAAATATGTATGCATATTTAACCTTGCTCAATAATTTTTGTTATGTTGCATTTTCGCCAAAACTCAAAGTTTATCAACCTATAAAGTATAATAATGTTGTTTCGTTGGTAATATATATAGTAACAATAGTAAATGGTATTTTATTTAATTATTATGTTATAAGATATGTTATTTCCACTCATTGCTGTTATTCGTTTTTTTCCATTGCCTGACAATTCGGCTCAGATTTGATATTGAATTTCCTCATTGTATCGAGCCTACACGCGCTCTCATGTAATTTTAGGTTCTTGTTCTAGGATTACATTCCGAAAAAAAGAAAATCAAACCAAAAAAATTGAAATATGAACAAAGAACGCAATAGCATAAAACGCATTTCGGAAATAATTGTTTTTTTTTTGCAAAGCATTCTGGATTTTCATGGCTAAATTTTTAAATGTTCAAATTTCAATTTGCTGATATTGCTTGATGGTGTATTGAATTAAAAAATTGAAATATGCTTGTTGCTGCAATATTTTGTATGCTTTTTTCTTCTTCGTTCAAAAACCTATTTAAGTTTTTTTGTTAATGTGTTTACATTTGTTTTTTTTTTTTAATTATTTTTTGCATGGCTGATGAAACCAATGAATGGTTTGTTGTTATACTAAAGTTAATTGTCATTTTTAATGGAAACACTTGTTTAAGTTTTTTCCCTTATTTATGTTTTTTTTTTTTCTTGTACAGTCTTTTTTGACCATTATGTTTTTTTTTTGTATTAATTCTGTTTTACAATAATAATTTTGTGTATATAAACATTTTATACTTTCGTTTTAATGGCATCAATGATATAGGATTTTATTGTCATTTATATATAATAAATTTAAAAATAATATATATATAGAATAAAATAAATGTTACATAATTATTGTCCATTTTTCTATATGTATATTATTAAATACCGTCAAAATTATATAAGGAATATTTTAACATAATATTATACCAAGTTATAAAACTTTTAGCGACACTTGCTCATAGGAATATAATTTTATTGAAGTTAAGTAAAGACATACGTTGGCTAATTTTGGCTGTATATTCTATAGAAAAATTAAAAATTATGAGATAATTTCCAAATCGCAATTATTTCAGGAAAGTGTCTTCCCTTAATGTCAGCTACAAATATAAAATATCTACCAATATAAAGAAAAAAAGATGAAACTTAAAAATCTTTGAAAGTAATATGCATTGATCCCAAAAAATAGATTTTTAAAGAATTCGTATGTTCTTATAAGAAAAATTACTCCTCGATATATTAAATTAAAGCGAAAACTAGAAGGCATATGTATCGACGCTTTAAAAGTTTACTTCCCAATATAACGTTAAGGGGGAAGTTTACAAATGTAAGGGACTTAAATACAAAATCGGATGAAACATATATATATCGGACGCGTAGCTATATCTTAACCAATTTTCACTAAATTTGATACACTTTCGTCCAGGCTGAAGTCGTTTGTCCGTGCCAAAATCCATTCAATTCGGACTTATATTAACCATTTGGTCTGCCATATTGAAATCTGAACCAACCGCGATAAATTTGACAAAGGTGTTTCTGGGCAATAGTTCATATATTTAACCGAATATCGTAGTTACGGAGTGTATATCACAAAAAATAAATCGGATGAACAATATATATAAGAGGTATAGCTATATCTGAGCCGATTTTCACCAAATTTGACATACTTACTTCTAGCTCAATTTGGTCGAATGTGTCAAATTCCATCCGATTTCAACTATTATTACACATTTCATGCACAATGAAAGGCAAATCGGACGAAGATATAAATGGGAGCTATATCTAAATTTAAACCGATTATCTCCAATTTCTGTAGGGTTCGTCCCTGGGCCAAACAAATAATTTGTGCAAAATTTCGTCTCGATCAGACAATAAATGTGACCGTACTTTTTGTACAAATATACATGGGCAGATGGAAGAACGGACAGACGAACGGACATTTATAAATCGACTCAGAATGTGATTCTAAGCAGATCATCAAAAGAAAATATGGGTTTATCTCGCTTTCTTCTTCATGGTTCAAACAAATGCACTCATCGAAAATGTAACTCATCGAAATAATAATTTTAGACCCAACAGAGTATATATATTCGTGATCAGCGTAAAATTATAAGACTTACTTACGGACAAGAATTAGCCCTGTCCGTCCGTCCGTCTGTTCTAATCACGCTACAGTCAAAACGAATTAAGATAGGAAGCTAAAAGTTATCACAGATCTGTCCTTCGTCTATAGGTAGGTCAAGTTCGAAGATGGGCTTTATCGCTTCACGATATCGTATAGCCTCTATATAATGGTACCACCCGATATTCGGTATTTTGATGACTTTAGCCACATTTTCAATAGAATTGTCTGAAAATTCACACAAAGAGTTCCTTGTGAATACTTTATCCCCTAGAAGAGAATTGTCAATATAGGTCCACGATATCGTATAGCCACCATGTAACGGTATACCCCGATATTCGGTACTTTGATGATTTTAGCCACATTTTTCAATGGAATTGTCTGAAACTGTACACAAGGAGTTCTTTATGAGCACTTTACCCTTTGGCAGAGAATTGTCTATATTTGGTCCACGATATCGTATGGCCCCCATATAACAGCACTTTCCGATATTCTGTATTTTTTATGATTTTAGCCACATTTTCAATCGAATTGTCTGAAAATCCACACAAGGAGTTCATTGTGAGTACTTTATCCCCGGAAGAAAATTATCTATATAGGTCCACGATATTGTATTTCCCTCATACAACGGTACCCCACCCCATACATTCGGTATCTTGATGATTTTAGCCACATATTGGAATGGAATTGTCTGAAATTCCACACAAGGAGTTCCTTGTGAATATCCGCTGTTCCTTGTGAGTATCCCCTGGAAGAGAATTATCTATATAGGACCACGATATCGTGTAGCCACCATATATCGGCACCTTCCGATAATTATTTGGAGGGTCCTGACCACAATTTTCCCATTGATTTAAGTTTATCTGGGTATCTCAGTCTCGCAATATATTTTCTGTTCTGGTGTAACGTCCATATATAGGAACCTCCTAATTGAGGTTATTTCAAAATATTTCAAATATTGTTATCAGTAATAATGCCAGAGACGCATTTAGTCTAAAATGTAAGAATTCCAAGTAATATTAAATCGAAAATTTCTTAAAATGCGGAGGAGGGGTTCTTTGTCATGTAAAATTTCAAAGTGCTAAAAACGTCTTTTGTATTTTTAACTCTACTTTTATTATTTTTTAAGTTTGTGTAATTATTTTTTGTGTTACACAGTGTAATAATATGAGACTTTGGCCTTCAAAAATTAATAACAAATTAGCTTGAAAATTATTCAAAAAGTGAACTTGTTTCAGTTTCCACCATATGAATACGAGTCTGAAGGTCAAATCCTCTATCACCATAATCCCTTATATTTGGAATATGTGTTATATGAGGACAAAACCTATATTGAACCATTTTGAGTGAAGTTTCACCTCAAAGAACAGAAAATATTAAATTCAGCCTATTTTAATTAACAATTGTGGTCGAAACCTTTAAAATGCAGAAATGGGGGCTATACCTTAAATGGACCTACATTGAATATTTTTATAGGGAGTTAACTACACATCGTAACCGAAATCTTTAACCTACCAAAAATCAGTTGGATCTACATAGTCCCCATATACCATATACTCTATTTTTTGTTAGGAGTAAATATATTTACTGAGAATTCTAAATTAGAGCTTAAAATTTAAAAAAAAACAGTCGTTAAAGGTTTTATAACTCCGAGAGGAGGTTTTGATACGTCATTTTTATGCATGTCGGTGGCGCTTATTTGTCTTTGGTTGGTTTTCTTCATTTGTATGTTTATATAAATTAAATAATATATATATGTATATAGGTATATATAATATATAGGATTATTATTAATTACCATAATATATGTATAATACATAACAGGGTATTATTTATGATTTCTTTGTATATTCTTATAAGAGATACAGTATAGGTTCGTATGTATGTTTAATCTAAAATAGTATTCAGCATATTTACACGATTTTGTGATCTCTTATTTAGTTACTTCATATTTCTCATTACTCACTCTCATAGAGTGTAGAGGGTGTCGAAGGTGTTGGCTCTAATCAATTTATTTGAATATGTTATACTCGTATGTTCTAGGCCGGTACGTATTGTATTTTCATATGTATGTGTGTAAGTTTGTTTATTTATCTCTAAACTATTTATTTTTTTCTTTTGAAACTTAAACTTAACTAAGGTAACTGTTTACTTTTTTTTGGTTTAATTTACTGTGTCTTCTAATGTGTCGTTATAATCTTTGACAAACCATTTTGAACTGGAATTAATTGTTTTTTAGTTTTTTTCCGTTTTGTTTTTTTTCTTCCTAATTTACTCATCTTCTTCCTCTAGAGATTTTTCAGGCAGACCATATTTCGGACAGCACATGCCCTCAGTACCGTCCATGTTGAAACAGAATATGGTACGTTCCAGCTCTGTGGGCTCATGTGGCACAATGCCATGCACCTCTTTAAGCTCAGCCTCGGGAAACCAAGCTGGATCGGAGTCTTCCACCACTTTAATGCCCAATAATCTGGAATACAATATGAGAGCACTTATTGTAAGATTGAGAATAATTATGTGAATTATTACCTCAATATAGCCACAATGGGTATCCACAATATTGATGACAATATAAGTATAAAGGCAATAACAATACACCAGTGGGGCCATTCCATTTTCACCGTCATCCCCTTGGCAGCTATCCATGCAGGATAACTGCTACCCTCTGTCAATAATTGATAAAATGAGGCAACAAGAATTGTTATCATGGCACAGGGTGATAAATATTTCCAACAGAACATCCAATACATATTGGGCCTTGATCCAGTCATCATCTCAATGTCATCGGAGAACCTGAAAGCAGAGGAAAACAGTTTGGGATCAAGTATACAAATGTATGGAGATAAAGTTCAGGCTTGTAAGCGCCATCAGGAGAAGATGCTGAGTACATTTAAAAATGAAAAGAAACTAATTATTATGGAGGGTATCGAAATATTGAACCAGCCCAACTAAACGCCTTTTTTATAGATTATTAAAGTAGAGCAGATGCATAAGCGTCTTTAAATTTTAGTTCTATTCCACATCCCTTGACGTTTTCGGATTAATATTCTTTGGCGTCTTTACAGTTTAGGCATACCCAGTCTTCGGCATTATTACAGGATACTCTTAACCCAGAAGCGAGGGTGAGATGAAAAAACTACAACCATCTTCAGACTGCTGTCACTTCTAAGCCACTCGTCCGACAGCTGTTAAAAATATTCCAGTGACAGCTCATTTTATTGTTTAGAAGCGTACAAAAGCATTTTGGTTAGAATTTTCCCGAAAAAAAGTTATTCGTGATGAAATTCAAGCGTGATTTCTGTGATTTCTGTTTATTTGGCTGGAAAACCACAAGTGGCTATCACTAGAACATTTAAATGTGAATAAATCTTTTGTGTCTCGTATCATTACTCGTTACCGTGATACTGAAAGAAAACAGCAATATCAGCAGAAATTGATCGAAAGATAACAGTCATGGGACAAGTGGCTTAGAAATTACAGCAGTCTGAAGTTGATTGCATTTTTTATCTCACCCTGTATATGGGAGCTTTATCTAATTTGAACCTATCTAGATAAGAACCTGCGTCGCAGTGGCTGAAAAATGGCTCGTGAGCTGAACATATCGCAATATTCCATTCGGCAAATATTGAAAAATGAGCTCGGTTCAAAGCCATTGAAGTTACAAAAAGTGCAAGAAGAAGAAAATAGATTCAAAAGAGCTAAAGAGTTGCTTCGCTTGGCCGAAAGTGGTGAACTGGCGAAGTTGGTTTTCTCCGATGAGAAAACATTCATTGCCCAGCAGTTTGTAAACAAACAAAATGATCGTATTTACTTGCCAAAGAGGTCAGCTAAAAATGTGCACCTTCGGTTGGCCACCAGAACTCAAGCGCCGGCCATGGTAACTGTGTGGACCGCCATAACAGCCAATGGTCGCTCTCCGCTCGTATTAATCGTCCATGGCATCAGAATAAAAGCCGAATATTATCGCGAAAATATTCTGGAGGGTGTATAAAAGCCTTGGGCACGCAAACATTTTGGCCACAGAACTTCGACATTTCAACTGGACTCAGCACCATCGCACTCAACACGAGCCGCCCAAACATGGTGACAAAATGAGGTTCCTCGCTTCATTTCCAGCGCAAAATGGCCACCAAAATCTCCGGATACCAATCCGTTGGACTATCGAGTCTGGAGTTGGCAAGGTTCGCATTAAAAAATACCAAAGTGTCGATCAGCTCAAGCAAGCGCTTCGACGGAAATGGGCCAAAATACCGCAGAGCAACATTTGGGCAGCGCGTGGCGGTCTCATTGCGCGTTTGAAGGCCATAATTCGTGCCAAAGGTGACCATTTCGAACAAAACTAATCTTATTCTAAATGTTGGTGCTGTTTCCGACATTTTTTTTCACACAATTCAATAAAATTTAAAAAAATAATAATAAAATTATGGCTTTTGATTTTGTTGCAGTTTTTTTATCTCACCCTGTATATCGGTCAACTCCTTCTGGTACTTCCCCCACAGAGGGTTAAAATTTTAATATCGATGAAACTCATAAAACGCGGAATTAACATCCAATTACATTAAGACTTAGCACATCTCAAAGTTTCTATCAACACAAAATCTGCTATAAAGACGGTACAGGTCGGACCATTTCTTCTGGTAAATCCCCCACATAGGGTTCAGGATTTTGAAAAATATATATTATATTATATATGTAAGTGGGGGTTACCAAAAGAAATGGTCCGACCTGTACCATCTTTATAACAGATTTTTGATTTCGCATAAAATTGGATATAAAAGTTCGATTTTCTTGGAATTTTGTCCACACCAATAATTTTATCTATATTAGATGAAAATGGAATACTTCGAACTATAACTGGTACCTCACGCACATATTAACATTTTCTGAAAATTATCACCTATCTCATATAAAGTGAAGGAAGTAACCTGGCACGTTTAGGTCCGATAGGAAACGTACAATGTTGTTCCTTATCTAAACACTACACACTCACAATTATCCCCGCTCTTTTCCTATACCCTATACAATCTTTAGTACAATTTTGTTGCTTCAATACAAAACGCATTTTCATTTTCTCCGCCTAATCTATACGCATCGCACATAGTGATTATAATACCAAGATTCATGATTCCAGCTCCATTGCTACACTATATGTCAAATTTACTACTTTTCATACACTTATTGTACACATTCCAGATCTACGTCTTTCTATACTTAATTTCAACATTCCACTTTTATCCATTCACCCAAAACCGCATTTTACCAAAATTTAAAAACATTTAGTATAGTTTTTAAACTTAGTACCTATTTCCAAGAACGCCTACTTATATCAACCCAGCTATTCAATTTTTTTTAAATATTACTACTCTTGGTACACTTATCCTTCGAATTTCCAAAAACCTTGTAGTTCGTCTATCCTACACAACATCGAAGATCCACATTCCGAATTTCAGATTTCCAACTCTATCACGTTCTCATATACCAAAAATTAGTGCCATTCGGTACTTTTCGTACTTTTTTCGTACATATTTCCAAAATTTTCTTCAAATCTCAATAGTGACCCTAATATTAACTTTTTAAGATTCCAACTCCATTCGTTCACCCAAATCTAAATTGTATCAAATTTAGTACCTTTTAGTACAATTCATACACTAAGTACAAATTTCCAACCCTACTTTCTTATAGCATCAAATTTAGTACATGTTAGTACTTTTGGTACACTTTATTATTCGCTTTTCCAAAAACTACCCCCTTGAAAATCTTTCCCGTATCATTTACACCTACCTTCGTATACCATAAATATAGCTGATGGACAAGCATTCAAACAATGCAATAATTAACAGGGGGAAATTTCCGGCAAAGCTGTCCATCAGCTGAAAAATATAACTCCCGGCACCATTGGCGAAACACATTGATATCAGACAGCATGAAAAACACAATCCCTGAAAAAAGAAAAAAATAATTTGTGGTCTCCAGTAAAAAATCTCTCTCGATTCTACATACTCCCACAATGTATTCCTTGGGTAAATTTGGCAATAGTTTCATATCTACCAATGATGTGACCACGCCCTCTAAGGTTCCAAATTGTGAGTCAATGCCCAGGGTGAATAACATCAGGAAGAATAACACGGCCCACAACTGGGAGCCGGGAAATTGATTGATGGCTTCGGTAAAGATTATAAAGGCCAAGCCGGTACCGGAGGCACTCTAGAATAAAAAATAAAATACAATTTTGAATAATCCTCTTTTGATCTTCATACTTACATTTGCCAATTCCCGTTCCAAATCACAAACGGGTAAGGTTACATTTTTATTCAAAGCAATCAGTTCAGCTCGTTCTTCATTGCAACGATCGAAGGTAGCCGTTGCTTTAAATCCAATCACCGAGAAGACCACCACTCCAGCAAACATGGATGTCCCACAGTTGGTCAGGGAAACCAATATGGCATCGCGATAGCAATTGTTGTTGGCGGGATTGTAGGAGCTAAAAGCAATTAGGCCGCCGAAAGCCAGACCCAAGGAGAAGAAAATCTGTGTGCCAGCCTCCAGCCAGACAACAGGATCCAGCAGAGTTTCCCAGCGAGGTGTAAACAAATGGGCCACACCATCAGAGGCACCTAGAAATTAAAATCAATTTTTTTTTTTTTTGAATTATTTCAAATTTTAATTTTTTCAAAAAAATGCACGATTTGATATTTAATCACGAATTGACCCATCAACGAACCGTCATTGGTACAATTGGCCGGGCCAGACGCAAATGGAAACGTCTGTATCATTGGTATCCCATCGAACAAAATCGTTTGTATTCCGAAATGGATCGTATTTACGGGGAAGTTCAAGAGAAATTCAATGCGGAGGATTTTCAGAGGTATGCCCGGGACAAACGTCTGAACAGGCGCATATTTTGTGGAACTGATGAGAATGCTGAGGACAAAGGCGACTCTTGCAAATTGAAATTATTTTATCCTGATACTGAGAAAAATATGCGTTTGCCTAGGTCTATATCGGACTATAGAGGAAAATGCTCAGATCCACGTTTCAAATGCACCGGGGAGAAGAAGTCATAGAATGTATTGAATGTATGTATAAATTTATGTGTGTTTATATGTATGTGTATGTATCAATAACTTCCTTTCAATTTTTCCACGAAATCCAAAAGTGGTTTTGGAAAATAAAACTTGGCCTTGAATTTACCAAAGATGTTATTTCTTCTGAGGTGAGACATTTTCTACAGAATAATATGCCTCAGTCACTGAGATGAGAAATTTTTTATGGTAAAATATATCTCAGTCACAGAGGTGAGAAATTTTTCTAGAGAAAAATATACCTCAGTCATTGAGGCGAGAAATTTTTCTATAAAAAAAATATCTGAGTATAAATTTCAAAAAAAAATTTTTATGGAAAAAAATATGTGACACTGAGGTGAGAAATTTTTCTATGAAAAAATAAACCTCAGTCACTGAGGTGAGAAATTTTTCTATGGAAAAATAAACCTCAGTCACTGAGGTGAGAAATTTTTCTATGAAAAAATATACCTCAGTCACTGAGGTGAGAAATTTTTCTGTGGCAAAATATACCTCAGTCACTGAGGTGAGAAAATTTTTCTATAGAAAAATATACCTCAGTCTCGCTGATTGAGGTGAGATATTTCTCTATAGAGAAATATACCTCAGTCACTAAGGTGAGATATTTCTCTATAGAGAAGTATACCTCAGTCTCGCTGACTGTGGTGAGAAATTTCTCTATAGAGAAATATACCTCAGTCTCGCTGACTGAGGTGAAATATTTCTCTATTGAGAAATATACCTCAGTCTCACTGACTGAGGTGAGATATTTTTCTACTGAGAAATATACCTCAGTCTCACTGACTGAAGTAAGATATTTTTCTACGGAGAAATATACTTCAGTCTCACTGACTAAGGCGAGTTTTTTTTTCTAAAGAAAAATATACCTCAGTCTCACTGACTGAGATGAGATTTTTTTCTCATTAAGGTGAGATATTTTTCTATAGAAAAATATACCTCAGTCTCACCGACTAAGGCGAGGTTTTTTTCTATAGAAAAATTACCTCAGTCCCACTGAGGTGATATATTTTTTTTTATAAAAAATGTACCTCAGTCTCGCTGAAGTGAGATATTTTCAAATGAAAAACAGACCTCAGTCTCGCTGAGGTGAGATATTTTCTATAGAAAAATATATCTCAGTAACTGAGATGAGATATTTTCTATAAAAAATATTCCTCAGTCTGAGGTGAGATATAGAAAAATATATCTTAGTCGCACTGAGGTGATATATAGAAATATATATCTCAGTCTCACTGAGGTGAGATATTTTTCTATAGAAAAATATGCCTCAGTCTCACTGAGGTGAGATATTTTTCAATAAAAAATCTACCTCTGTCTCACTGAGGTGAGATATTTTTCTCATATCTCACTGAGGTGAAATATTTTCTAAATTTAACTCAGTCACTGAGGACGGAATTTTTTTTTAATTTCCAAACATTCCCCTATTTTCGATTAATCCAAAAATTGTATAAAAAATACTCACCCTTTAGTGTAATGCCGCGAAAGAAAAATATGATCAATACCACATATGGAAATATTGCCGTAATGTAGACAATTTTTCCCGACGATGTTAGGCCCTGAACCATACAAATGTAAACCAGGAACCATGAGACCATTAACGCAATGGCAATATGATAATTGAAGTTTTCCGGTTGATTAACACTTTCCGAGCACTGTAATGTGGTGCGATACCAATAGTATTGGGTCGGAGATGATGCCTAAAGTGGCCCACAGACACACACACAACAAAAGTAAGGGGGAAAAAAGAAAAGATATTTAAAACACATCAATAAGTAAATGGGTAAGAAAACAAATGTAAAAATGTACTCGAGGGAAAATGAAAAGAATATTGAAAGCCAATTCATTGAATGGGTTTGGCATCAAATACTTCTTCACATCTCCTTCTCCATCTTACCACACATTCCGGCTCATGATCATAAGTATAATTGGCATAGAGACGTGTTGGACATTCCGCCCAAGGCAGTGGTGATTCAAAACTGTGCAATAAGTAAATGAGGCACCAGGCTATTATCGTATTATAGTACAATGCCACAATGTAACTGACGACAGCCGACGAGATGCCAATGCCCCCCAAATAGGGTGATACTTGACTCCACACACCAATGGCTCCTTTGCGTAGTCGTTGGCCAATGGCCAATTCCAAATAGAAGATGGGTATGCCTTGTATGCAGAGCATTATAAAGTAGGGCACCAGAAATGCACCGCCCCCATTCTTTTGTGCCAGATATGGAAAACGCCAAACATTACCAAGGCCGACGGCATAACTGCAAACAAAAAAAAAAGAAGAAATTGTTGAAAGAATTTTTTTATTTAGAAAATATGTTTACATGGGAAATTGAAAGTGTGTTTCTATGTGTGTGAAATGCTGTTCGAAACAATAATAGTTTTTTTATTGAGATTGTAGTTGATGACATCGACGAAGAAGAATATAATAATAGTACAAAGAATTTAAAGTTTTAGAAAGCCCTCAAGCCTTAGGAATTTAATAAAAAAATTCAATGAAAAATACTTGATCGAGAAAATTGCAAGGTTGAACGAAGTGGCAGACAACCCGTATTTTTAAAAAAAACGGCTGAAACGCTTGAAATCTTTTCCTTTGGAACAAAATCTTCAAAAAAATCAGTTAAACTCGAAAAATTCTGAAAAAATTATTATTTAATATTTAAGCACAGATTTAAAATGGACAGTTTTTCAAAAAATGTTAATGTAAGGACCAAATGTGTATTTTATAAAAAATTTTCTTTAAGGCCCAAATGTGAGTCTTATGAAGATATCACTGTGTACACACTTGCTCTAATGTTTCAATTCTGGTTTGTGGGTACCGACAAATGACGAATATGCCTTTGGTTTTTCTGTGCCACTTCGATAATTGATGTTATAACGGTAAATATAGAGAAAATCCAAGTTTTTGGAATTTCAACTTTAAACGTGCGTATTTCTAGTATGGACTTTTTAAAAATATTGTTTTCAAGCATAAAATGTAAATTTATTAAAGACTAGCCAGTGCTCGTTATTTTATCACCGAAAAGTCCACCTTAACATTTTCAATTTGTTCCAACAGTTCGTGTTAGGACATGTAAGGACTCAAAATGCACAATTTGTTCAGTTTTACAACATTTTTTAAACAAAACTTCATGCATCGCATTACATTTTCAAACTTTCAGGGCTTTTAATATTATATAAGAATACAAGGAAATTAATTTTTTTACACAAAAAAGTCTTCAAAATCTTTAATTTTGAAGTTAACTGAGGAGGATATTAAAAAAACATTGCACAATTATCCCAAATCCATTTTTTTGTCCTAAACTATTTGAACTCCATATGTAAACTCTTGAAACCAACAGTGGTTCCAATTAAAAATTTCAAGATAACGGCTCTAACCCCTTAACCCAATACCAAATTTAGTAACATTTAGTTAGTATTCATATCCAAAACAATCTACATTTTTCGATCCTAGACAGCAACTGTGATCCAGAAATTAGTACAATTTATTACGTTTCGAAACCACCACCGGATACCGGATCAACACTAGATACCAACAGAGACCTAAATTTCCATTTTTTTTTATTCCAGCTCTTTAAATACACCCATTACCAATTATAAAATCTATGTCCAAAACCAGTTCCTTTTCTCATCCACAGACACTAACAGTGACATCCATACCAAATTTCAGGATTTCATCTCTATTACTTTGCATAATTCCAAATTTAGTACTATTTAGTACTTTTCCTAAAATTACGGTACACTTTTCCTCAGCCACCTTCATATTTCAATTCCAGATACCAACAGAGACCTCAATATCAAATTTGCTGATTGCAGCCCTATCGCTTCACCCAATACCAAATTTAGTACTTTTCGTACAAATATAGTACACATTTCAAAAACCACCTCCATATCTGAAACACAGACACCATCAGTAATGTAATATCATATTTCAGGATTTCAGCTCTATTTCTTCACCCAATACCAAATTTGGTATTTTTCATTCAATACACTTACACTTTCTACAACCATCTCCATATCTCAATTCCAGATACCAACAGAGCCCTGAATATCAAATTCGTGGATTTCAGGTATATCCCTTCACCAAAACCGAATATTCAAACCACCGCCAAATCTCAAACATAGATACCATCAGAAATCTAAACCTTAGAATCTTATTTCTATCCCTTCGCCCAAAACCGAATACAGTACCATTCTGTACTTTTCGTACAATTATTGTACACATTTCCGAAACCAACACCATATGTCCAGGCTACACATGATAGCCAAATATACCAAATATAGTAGTATTTAGTACTTTTCGTGCACTTACTCCACAAATTTACAAAACCACCTCTTTATCACAAACCTACCTACCACAAACAAAGACTCCAATGCCAGCATTTTAAATTACCAACGAAATTGTACCAAATTTGATATCACTTAGTACAGGTCGCACACTTAGTACGAACATATTTTCCAAAACCCCTTTCATAACTTGCTTTACAACCCTGATTCTCATTCCAAATTTCAAGTTTTTAGCTCCATCCGTTCACATTGTAACATTTTAAAAGTTTAGTACCAATTTAGAACTTTATGGATTGAATTTCCAAAAACCCTTTGGTACATCTATCCTACTTTCCTCCATCGATGACTCTAATTCCAAATGTCAGAATTTTAGCTCAATCCGTTTGTCCGATTTTCAGTACAATTTTGTTCCCTTTTAGTACGAATTTGAAAACAAAAACCTTGCCTTATCACACGCATACGCACCAAGTCTGATCCTCGTACAAAATTTCAGGATTCAAGGTTCAGCCGATTCTCAATCAGTCAGTCAGTTATTTTACTACGCGTTTATATTTATAGATATCAGCGCACAGATTTGCTATTTTTACTCGAGAGCGAAACTTGCTCGCGAACAGGATTGCTCGAAGAGTGGGAGTTTTTTTACGAAGTCTACTCTTCACCCTTTTTTTGCTGGAGCACTCCCGAGTCACTCCTGTTTAAAATTTATAGTGGGAGTAGAAATTTTTACGGGGTCTTCACTTCACTTCATGTTTTTGTGTAGTGTGGGTGTTCTACCGAGTCACTCCTGTTTAAAAAATTAAAGTGGGAGCAGAATCGCTAAAAAAAGAGCAAGAGTTTAATCTAAGAGGGTACATGAGTGCAAAGATATATTTTTTTCTGATTTGTGAGTGTGTATGTGTAATAGCAAATGGAAGATTTGATCGTATGCAGAAAAAAATTTAGTCATTTTCGTACAATTATTTTAAAATATTTCCGAAATCACCTCCATATATCAAACTTACTTTCCAACACTGATACTCATAATAATTTCAAGTTTCTAGGACTGTTGGTTCGTATAATAACAAATGACACCATTTTAGAACTGTTCGTACCCTTAAAATTCGAATTTCCAAAAACCCTTTGGTACTTCTAACCTGCGTCCCATGGATGACTCTCATTTTAGAACTCTAGCTCCCTCCGTTTTTCCAAATTTTAATGCATTTTGGTACTTGTTATACCCTTTTAGTGCGAACTTCAAAAGGAGTGTATTACGGAGTCTACTCTTCACTCTCTTGTTGTGTGTGGGAGTACTCCCGAGTCGTTCCTGTTTAAAAAATTAGAGTGGGAGCAGAATCGCTCAAAATAGAGCAAGATTTTGCTCCAGGAGTGTAAATGAGTGGGAAAAGATATTTTTTCCGATTTGTGTGTGTGTATGCCTAATTGCAAACGGGGTTTAATCTTGCTGTATAACGCAGAAGAGGTGAAAAGAAGGTAAAAAGAGGGGATTTGATCGTGTACAGAAAAAATATACATATATGGAAATTCCACAACGGTATGACAAAATCTAAAAGAGTGCTCGAAAAAAGCTCGATTTTGAACGAATTTTGCTCCCACAAAAAAAAAAACGAGGAAATGCTCTCGGGGGCTATCGGAAAATTGAATTTGCTCAATTTTTTCCCATGAGCTCTCCCGCTCGAATTCGATTGAATTTCACTCCGTACAGATTCGAGCGAGCTTTTCGGAGGTCCGTTATATATTATTAAATATTGCATATGAACACAATTTTTATAGAATCAATTCTTAGGTCTTTAAGTATGGATGTTTTTCTGTTAAAAATACTGTTTTTCTTTAGAAAGTTTGACACGGAGGTGAGTTTTTATTATTTTATGAAACAAAAAGTTATTTCCATACATAATACAAAAGTGTTATTATGATGTTTCACACAATAACACTTTTTGTTCAAATTCCCACAGTTTTCTTTGTTTATCCACCTTGCTTTTAATTAAATTTCCTTGCACGGAAACATCTTTATTCCCCCTTTTTATTTTAAGCACTAAAGTTTCGAACTGAGTGCAACACAAATCCGGACTAGCGAATTTCTCTCCAAGTTTTATTTCACTCTCGCCCAGCCCCTCTTCATTGTTTGTCCGACATCCTGTCATTCACATTTGAATATTCATAAATTTTGCACTTACCCTATTGTTGCCAGCAAGAACATTATTTTACTGTCCCAACTTTCACGTTCTTCGCCCTCCTTTTCACCCTCGACAATATCCGCTGGGGCACTTTCGATGGCTGCCACCAATTCGGCCACAGCTTTGGTCGTGCTGGCCTCTGTATCCTCAACTTCGGACGATTCATCGAAGGCATCGGACATAAATGCTTGATTTGTGGCCCCATACATGGGGGTGTGATGGGCGACATGATGCGTGCCATGATGTGGACCACGATGACTGCCCGCACTGCTGGTGCTGTGTTCGGAAACTAAACGGCCACGTATCTCCTGGGAGAATGGGAAAATCGAATAAAAACAGTTAATAGATTTAATTTTGTTGCTGCAAAACACAGGTGTCTATGAAAGCATGATTATGGATGCTACGTTTAGATGAAAGAGGATTTGATTCGTTTCGTATTTCTTGCTGCACTTACTCTTAATTCATGTTGATCTATACTCTTTTGTGATTTTAATACAATATCCCGTGAGCTTTGTCGTCTCAGCAATTGAGCTGTATTAGCCATTTTGAAAGATGATGATGATGATAACGTTGATGATTGCCGCAGACGATGTGGTTTTCGTCGGTGGGTGGATGGGTGTTGGTTCAGTTAAATCGTTCGATAATTTGGTTGGTTTGGTTGTGTTGAAGATTTGAAATAAGTTAAGCGTTTGGTATTTTTTTTTTTTTTTTACTTTTCGTTAATTTTGACGTTAACTAGATTTGGTGCAATTTAGTTTTTTATCGATCAGGGATTTCTTTTTTTTAACTGAATCAATCGACTAGCTTGTTTTTTGTTGAGTGCTTGTGGTGTTGTTGGTGCTGATATTCTTGTGCGATTTGGTGCGCGGACATTTACATACAGGGTGTTTGGCTGTGTGCTGGCATTATACTTAAGGTGCTTTTAGCTAAAAAGTTATTATCCATTTTGTTGTTCTAGAATAAGTGTTTTTGGTGCATTAAATATTGAAGGAAGTGTTAGAGAGAAGAAAAAACTAAATACAATTATATTGAACAAAATACATACACACATTCACACTTGACATGCATTTACATTGAAGTGCGATGGAGCGTATGAGTAACATAATAGTGAAATGAAAATGTATTAAGTATACGTGAAAGATAAATTTATGAAAGATGCAATTCAAGCATACATAGATCAGTCCCTAAAATCTGCCCTGCTCAAAACTGTGTTCTAGAACATGAGCCGAAAAAAGAGATAATTTAAGAGAAAATTAAAATTCTATTTTTCTTTATATTTTACTATTCCATTTAATTGTTTGCTAAAATAATTTATAAAGCAAATGGATAAAAAATATTTGTATAAAAAATGACTTAACACTGTTTTGTTCTTGACTGGAGAGAGATATTTTTTCTTGAGCAGCGCAGCTAAAATAATATTTATGAAAAAGTAGGGGAGTAAGTCGGTCTAGGTTGACATAAAAACCTGAAACATGTAGTTTTCTTGATGACTTAATAGTAGTTTAAAATACTAAACATACGCAGAAGTCCGATCTGTATTTCGTATATATTTCAAATATATACTTCCATAAATATAACAAAAATAAATTAGAAAAATTATTTAAATATTTTTTGACACTATCCCCAAAAAGTTAAGTTTGTTGGGAGATTTGAACTTAGCTTTGAAACATTCGAGATTCACGTTCAAAAAATTAAATAAATATATGGTGAGATAAAAAAAACTGCAACAAAGTCTAATGCCATAATTTTTATATTTTTTTAAATTTTATTGAATGAAAGAAAAAACTGTCGGAATAGCATCAAATTTTAGAATAAGTTAAGATTTCTTCGAATTGGTCAACTTTGGCACAAATCATGGCCTTCAAACGGCCAATGAAACCGTCACACGCTGTGTGAATGTTGCTCTGCGCTATTTTGGCCCATTCCCGGCGAAGCGCTTGCTTGAGGTGATCAACACTTTGGTATTTTTTAGTGCCAACCTTGCTTTCCAAAATATTCCAGACACAATAGTCCAACGGATTGGTATCCAGACATTTTGGTGGCCATTGGAAATGAAGAGAGGAACCTCATTTAATACACCCTCCAGAATTTAAATAATTTAAAAATTCCTTGAAAAATATATTCTTAAAAATTCTAAAATAAAATAAAATAAACTACAATTATGACTTTGATCGTCTTTAAAAATACCGTGAAATGTTTTATTCCAGTTTCTTAAAAAAGCTATTATTTTATTTTACAGCCTATCCACCTCACAATTAAATTTCAATCTCATTCCAATTTTTTGTTAACCTTATCTATGTCATAATAACAATATGCCCTCAACCAAACAAAATATTTACAATGGAATCCAAAATCGTCTGACTACAGCAACAATGTAACAAAAGTCAATGATCATTCAATTGTTATGGCAACCTCTTCGTAGTAAACCTCTTTGAAATTGAAATGTATGCACAACAAAAGAAAAACATTTTCGGAAAAGTTGTATTCATTTTCCGAACATCTTATCCTTTGCCAAGTTTTTCAAAGAAAAATATATCGAAATTATCACAATGTTCGACATCGTCTAAACTTGACTTTTTAGGTTTTTTTGTTTACTCAACGCTTTGTTGCCAAAGTGAAAGAAAACACCAATAGAATACCAACAAAAAAACGTGGCAGATATAGCGGATGAGAGATTTGAAAAAAAAATAGATTCATGAAAATAAGGATTTAATGAAATTGAATATATTTCAATTTCAGAAAAACTGTTCAGATTTATTTTAGTATAAGCTTAATTTAATTGAGTGCAGGATAAATAAGTTATACTTAAAAACATTGAGAGACTTAGAAAAAAAGGAGAAGAGCAAAATGAAATTTAAAATATCTTTCTGTTAAATTAAATGTAATTCCTTTAAATTACGAAAAATTTGAACCTCCTTCAATTTCTAATGATTTCGATATTTAAGAATATCTACATTTACTTCATTGTATTTTAAAAGGAATATTTACAATTTCCTTTTTATACCCTACACCTCATAGTGGTCAGAGTATTATGTCTTTGTGCATCTGTTTGTAATATGGAGAAGGAAGCGAGATAGAACCATAGTTACTTTTGAGGATCCTCATAGAATCACTTTCTGAGTAGATTTATGCATGTCAGTCCGTCTGTCCATGTCTTTTTGTGAACAAAATGCAGTTCGCATTTATTATCCGATTGAGATGAAATTTGTCAAAACAATATTTATTTGGCCCAAGGATCCCTATTGAAATTGATGAGAATCGGATGAAATTTTGATATGGCTCCCAAATATGTCTTCAACCGATTTCGGGTTAATTGTGCACCAAATGGCCAATATCAGTCCAAATGAACTGAATTTTAGCACATGCGACCGAATTCAATATAGAAACAAGTACATCAAATTTGGGGTCAGATACAGGTATAGCTCCCATATATATGTTTCATCCGATTTGGGGTTTTAAATGCTTCACATGCGTAATGTGCACTCCACAACATTTATGCACTCGTTGATACCAGATATCAGATGCAGCTCAGAAATAAGTGTTTAATATTTTGTAGAGATCGGTTAAAATTTGGATATAGCTCCCATATATATCTTTATCCGATTTTAGGTTTTTTGTCTACCAAATGGCTAATATCAGTCCAAATGACCTGACTTTTGGCACCTTCGACAGAATTCAGCCTAAAAACAAAAACATCAAATTTGGAAAATCGGTTCAAATATAGCTATAGCTCCCATATACACAGGTTGAGATAAAAAATCTGCACCAAAGTCAAACGGCATGGTTTTTACACTTTTTTTTTAAATTTTATTGAATGAAAGCAAAAATTATGACCTTTAAACCGCCATTGAAAACGTTGTTCTGAGGTATTTTGGCCCATTCCCGGCGAAGCGCTTGCTTGAGGTTATCGACACTTTTGTATTGTATAGTGCCATCCTTGTTTTCCAAAATACTCCAGACACAATAGTGCAACGGATTAGTATCCGGAGATTTTGGTAGCCATTATACGCTGGAAATGAAGCGAGGAACCTCATTTTGTACCCATTCTTGGGTGGCGCGTGCTGAGTGCGATGTTGCTGAGTCCTGTTGGAATGTCCAAGGTATGCAGCCAAAAAGTTTGCGTGCCTAAGGCTTTTATATACGCTCCAGAATATTTTCGCAATAATATTCGGCATTTATTCTGATGTCCCCACACCATCACCATGGCCGGCGCTTGAGTTCTGGGGGCCAACCGAAGGTGCACATTTTCAGCTGACCTCTTGCACAAGTCCACGCGATCATTTGTTTGTTTATAAGCTGCTGGACAACGAATGTTTTCTTATCGGAAAAAACCAAATTCGGCAGTTCACAACTTTCGGCCAAGCGAAGCAACTCTTTAGCTCTTTCGAGTCTATTTTCTTTCCGTTGCGGTGCAAGTTCTTGCACTTTTTGGAATTTCAATGGCTTTACCCCGAGCTCATTTTTCAATATTTGCCGAATGGAATATTGCGATATATTCAGCTCACGAGCCATTTTTCGGCCACTGCGACCCGGGTCGAAACCCGAACCCGAACCCCGAAACCCTTCTTTACTTTCGAACCATTTCTGCTGATGTTGCTGTTTTCTTACGTCCACTTTCTTGACGTCGTGCTACGCTACCAGTATCACGGTAACAAGCGATGGTACGAGATACAAAAGATTTTTTCACATTTAAATTCTGGAGTGCTCTAACGGTAGCCACTTGTGGTTTTCTAGCCAAATATAAAGAAATCACACTATCAGGCTTGAATTCGATCACGAATAACTTTTTTCTGAAAAATTCTCACCCAAATGCTTTTGTACGCTCGTAAACAATACAATGAGCTGTCACTGAAATAATTTAAACAGCTGTCGGACGAGTGGCCTAAAAATGACAGCAGTCTAAAATTGGTTGCAGTTTTTTTCATCTCACCCTGTAAAGGTACAAAAGCCTCTGTCAAATTTGTTCAAAATCGATTCAGAGTTAAATATAATTTCCAAATTGTGACTAATCTAAAGCCATGATACATGTATGTGATACGTATATAGGGTATCATACAGTCGGCCTCACCCAACTTTCTTCTGGTTTACTATTTCCTCTTTGCATATCTGAAATTCTTTATCCATACGCACATTCTTATGGCTTTCAATAATGTGTAAATTGTTTTTATATTACACTTATAACACACACACACACACACTTGATCCCTTTAAGTAACTCCTTACGCTGTCTTATGTATTGTCTTTACTTAAAAAGGAAAAAAAATGAATAAAATTTTACGCATGAATGCCTTTTAAATTAACTTTCCGCCTTCAGCATCAAACTCGCTTCAGCGAAAGTGAGTACACATTGTTTCCAAAATTTATTGGTATACATAAATTACGTTTTTAAAATTGGCTTTAAGTGAATTCTGCAAAGTTTTTATCTGCTGTTTGACGTTAGCATCTGGATGTTGAACAACATCTGTTCGACTTCGTGCGTGTCTTCATTGACATGGTAGATATATACATGGCTAATAGATGATGATGATGTCGTCGTCGTCGTGTCACATAACAAATGACAGTCTACATACTGAAAAAAACATTATTTTTATTGGATTTTCTACTATAAAATAGCTACATCCGTTTGTTCAAGGATCAGCGGGAAGTGTGTCTTTGCATTTTTGGTTGCTTGGAATTGGGCGTTTCTTTTGAATGCATTAAAATAAAACTTTTATTTATTCGTCGAATGGAAGTGGTTTAGAAGCAATACACAAAAATGCAACAATTCTTTATTGGTTGTTTCCTTGCAAATATAACATTATTTCTTGTATAACTTTTTGAAATATTAAAGAATTTATTTATTTCATACGGTTTTCCCGACGTTATGAAGATGAGTCTGCCATTGAATAATACGTTTACTGCACATAAAGTCAATAAGCTGCCAATTCACCTCACTTTGTTTAATTCATACATTG